TGTCGCCAGGACTGCCCCTGCCTTTCTGGCGCTCATTTGCAGCTTATGGGTTTGGTCCAGCATATTGCCTTTGGCATCGAGAACTGGATGTTTGTCCGGCAACAAACTTAAGGTCTTCCCACTTAGTGGAGAAGAGACGTCTCGGTTTCTTGGACCAGGGGTCCCCAGCAGCCCACGGGTCTTGGGCAGCATTGGCCTTGGTAGCGGAGGGTGTAGTAGTAGGAGGCTCGACCTTGCCTGCAGCATCATCAACTCCCCCAGCGCAATCAAAGGCCTCAGTGGTGCGACCCTCAAGAATGCGGCGCAAAAACCATTGCGAACATCGTATGCGAAATCGACAGTGTCCGCAGAGACACCTGAGTTCTCCCAGAAGGCAAAATCAGTCCCTTTAATAACCGGACAAGCTCCCGATGCCTGGTGGTGGCAAGGATGTCAAGAAAGGCAATGTGGTGTGTCCGGCAAGACAAGTTGCATCCTTTGAAAGAACCCACAAAGCAGTGACCACCCACACATGCCCGGTGGGGTCCTGAAAGGGACTGGAACAGCTTGGATCTCATGGGCCGGAAGGGCAATGAGGTTGGTGATATGGGCAATGAAAGCCGGAATGTAGCCAAAGATCTCGGGTGGCCCATAGCAGAACAGCGTTTTCAGCCCAGTGGCTCCAACAGTCGCCCACGCATCTCCAACAGACAAGTCAAGCTGAACCCAAGCCATCAACAATCAAAAACCAAGTGACGCTGGTATGATGGCGAAAGTCCGGAGTGAGACCCTGGAAGTAGATGAAGGCAGAGGTGACCGCACACCACCTGGCAGGTGGGCAGAAGTAGGTCTGAGGCAAGACCTGCCTGGGGTAATCGAGAATCCAGTCGAGCTCATCGGAAGCAAGCCATCCTGGTTGATCACGCATTTTCAGCAAACGCCGGATGATGTGGTAGTCCGGAATGGCAGGGTGTGGCCGCAGCGGGAGGCCAGCTGGAGGCTGATGAGCAGTCGGAACAGGTGGCTGCACATCAATGAAGTTGACATACAGGCGAATGGAGGTAACAGAGTCCTGCTGCAAACTGTTTCTGGCAAGCTGCGAAAAGAAGGCACGACGCAATTTGATGGGCTGAAGCCACACATCAGTCGGAATGCCATCAGCAACCCAATCCTCAATCGCGGAACAAGGACATCCTCTATCAAAGCTCTCTTCTCCAGGGAGACTTGCTCAAACCCATCGTTTGCTGGTGGAAGTTCATCTTGAAGCCCCGCAGCGGAAATCCATCTGTTCAACAAGACCCAGCCGCACATGTGAGGGAAGTTCGCAACAGGACCAATGGAGGCAGCGAGTCTGCTGGGATGAAAATCCAAGAGCCTTGCCACAGCCGCAACAACCGTGTGAAAGTATGGGCCAGGAAACCCAAGCACGACGACCGTGACCAAATGGCTGGTCCTGTTGACTTCAACGGCGCACCAATGCGAGCGCAAGAGGATGGGGATCACAGTGAGCCGGTTGTTTGGGATAGCGAATTCAGCACTCAGCCCAAAGTCAAAGTCTCCGTTGTCCTCGTCCCAGGTAACTGGCATGGAGAAGTCTGCAGAGCCAGGAGCCGCCCACTGCACGTGTTGCAGCCAGAAAGTCATCTCATCGGTTGCGATCCACCCTGAGGTGTTCACAGCAAACTCACACCTAGCTTCAAATCAGCCTTCGAAATGGTCTCCCTTGGAATGATGAGCTACCGATTGCCCATGGTGATGTGCTCTTCCTTTCCTGCCTGGATCCGCGCAGGTGGCCATCACGCAGGAGGTCCACATCTGGAAGCAGTTGGACCCAAGGTGGAGAGTGTCCGATTCGACTGGCTGCTGATGCAAGCACGCAACACCGATTGCACCATTTGTGCGGATGAAAGCAAACCAAGGGTCATCACCAACGGAAACTTGCTGCCATAATCCTTTCAGGACGTCCCAAACACGGCCAAAATATCTTCTATGTTCAGGAGAGCATATTGCAACGGTCTTACTTGCCAGGCGAATCACGCCCTCTTGTTTTTGGTATTCTTGTCCGAAAGTGCGAAGCAAGAAGGATGCTGCGGTTTTAACGCCATCCAAAAATGAATGCAGTTCTTCTTCAACAGGAGCAAGGCTGAGAATCTAATGTATTGCAGCATCCTCAAAAACTCCGCAGCGAGAGAGGAATGAAGAAAGCGCAAGGCCCCAAGCAGGTCAGTGTGCGACACAGAGAGCCGCAAACGCTTGCAAGCAGGCTCCAGCTCAGAGGGAATTTGACGGTCAAGGACCTCCTCGGCAACTAAGCCAGTGAAAGTCATGGCCGGAGACCGGAAAGCGAAAAGCGTCGGAACACCCCGATTGCCCAACAGACACTTCTCAGTAGACGCAAGCACAGAACGAAAGGCCTCAGTGGAGGCAATGGCATCAAATTCCAAAGGACACGGATTTGAAGCAAGTCCCGGCATTGACAACGATTTGCTCAAGGGTACAGTGGGTGAGATCACAATTGGCTTGTCCGCTAACGGCCTGCCATCAACACAGACCTGACATTGCTGAACTATTACAGCGAAATCCGGAGCAGGAAGGTCTGGAGATTCTTGTAGTCCTCACTTCGGCAGAAAACATGGCTCTGCACATCAAACTTCCAAGTGAAGATCGTTGAGACCTTACCAACACTCCAATCCCCAGGCAAGAAGATGGTCTTCGAAGCCTCAGTGCGGCGATGCATAAGACGCCATTCAACACAGTCAGTCCCTGTCGGCTCGGATGGTGCTTCAACTGATAACTCCTGGACAAAGGCTTCAATTGAGCACAAGGTAGCAAAGCGACTGCCATGGACAATGAAACTCGAGAAGCTGGTGAGCCTGGCAGCCCAACACTGCAGGACCAAATCCTTCACAGCGAAATCCCATTTAAGGAGAGCACGGAATCCAACGCCAAGAGTGAGAATAGCTTGCGGCACCGAAATAGCATTTCCTACCTGTCGAAAAGCCAACACCATCTTGAAAGACACCGCAATAGACTCAGTGGCGCCCAACAGGGCACAATGCGCAAAGGGGTCGATGAAGAAAAAATCTTTCCCATCATGGTCAAGAACAGCGAAAATGCCACGTTCAGCTAAGTGTGTACTCGAAAGGTTGTGTTGGTTTCCGTACGAAGCACACAGTGTGGGCAGGGTCTCATATGGATCCTGAACTCGCTCTTTCAGCACTCGCTGTACAGAAGCATCTGCAGGCACTGTTCTTTGCTTGGCAGGGGGAGGAAACGGTAGTCCCCGTAGGCTTTCAACTCCGACTGTGTGAGTGTCAATTGTTCACGGAGTGCGCGAGGGATCACATACTTGTAGTGTTGCGATGACCATGGCATCACCCGTTCAGCTCGAATAGGCAAAGCGATCTCATCACACTCCTGAAAAATGTCAGAACGTAGCCAGACGCTGAGCCATCGGGTTCGGTTCACATGGGACAGCTGATGATATGGCACTACCTGCTGCCACGAGCATTGATAGCCCCTCTTGTCAGCAAGGCGCGCAGCAAAGCAAAGTGCGGGTGCACCGCAACGTCATCGACGCACTCCAGAGTGAGCATGTGCGGCTGGCCCGCAATTGTGATCCTTATCGTGTCAACGAAAGCCCAGCCATTGAGACTGGCTAGGCCAGCGGCTCTCCCTCCCTTTGACCATGGTTGACATGGCGGCGATGCTGTGTAGCACAGGTTTGCGCGCGGTGCAACAAGGTTGAACATCGTGTGATCAAACACATGCGTTTGCACAAATGCCTTGGAGTGCGCTTCAAAGGCTGTTCGCGGCCGGAGGGGGCCAACATGACACGGCTGCTTGTGGTGCTCCATCCACACCTGGGCCACTTCGGAATCATTGTCGATGCTCAGTTGTGCTCCGATGCGGAAACTGTCAACAAACTTCGGCAGCATGTTAACAGCTTGGCTCTGCACAAAATCCCACTCAGCTTTGCAGTCGAATACAGGGCGTTTTGTGAGGGTAACATGTGCGTCACCTTTCCATCGTGAGGTTGTCGCCTGATGCAGGTGGCCACAGCACAAGATCGGGTCACCTACCTGGAACGATAGTGCACGATTCGAAATGCCTGGGATGGCAATTTGTGAAGAGGTGGTGTCACTGAAGACAAAACCTTCATACTCAATGTACTGTCCAAGGTCGATCAAGAGCTCGTCCGTTAAGGTTCCAGTGAAGTTTCCAGCAAGGATGGTCAGATCGTCCCAACAAATACCCGGGCCATTATGCAAGCCAGCAAACACACCTTTAGTCTTCGCAGACCAAAAAGGATCGTGCAGGCGCTCGAAAAGCTTGTCCTCCTTCGACATGGCACGAGACCAGGGCTAAACACGATTCCAACAGGTCAAAGCGTCGGGTGACCTGCCAGAATGTGACTGGTCTCTGTGGACGTCAGACGCCCTCCTCGCGAAGGGTCGCCTGACCACGGGCCCCCGGGAGCCGTCAGGCAAGCGGCTTTGGGCCAGAATGCCTGGTAGCGTCCTTGTTCCTGGTAGCGATGCCAGGAGCCCCTAGTAGCATCCTTGTTCCTAGTAGTCAGGCCAGGAGCCCCTAGTAGCGTCCTTGTTCCTAGTAGTGATGCCACAAACCCCTAGTAGCATCCTTGCTCCTTAGTAGTAAGGCCAGGATCCCCTAGTAGCGTCCTTGCTCCTAGTAGCGATGCCCTTTGCATCCCTTTGCTCCTAGTAGCAGTCCCCCTTTGCTCCTAGGGTAGTACCGCGGGGTAGGCCGCAGTACCGGACGCAGGAAAGCTCACGTTTCTTCAAGCAAGGGCCACCTGAGGGTGGGGGGAGCATCCTGAATTTTTAGGGAAACTTGGTGTTCAATGAGGTTCGATGTGCCTTTAGGGAAACAACAAGCTACTAGGAACAAGTGCATCGCTTCTAGTAACAAGTGCCTTACTAGTAGTAACAAGAAGCTAGTAGAAACAATAAGTAAATTAAATTAGAATTGTTTAATTTGGAAGTTGAGAAACGCATCAGGCCCGGCAGTCCGACTTCAAGCTGCAGTCCCTTCCAGCTGCTTCGCAGCTTGGCGTCTCCGCGCCATCCTGCACCTTTTTGAAAGGTATCATTGGAAGTCTCTATTCAATCTTCAGAGAAACAAACGAAGAAATGACAGAAAAGACAGACGAAAAACCAAAAATGCAAAAACATAGAAACACTATATAAGACAGATGTTGAAGTTGAAGCGGTGTTCATATTGAGCTGAAAGTGCTGAGGTAGGTTCACTTCATCTTCACGATCTTCACGATCTTCAGGGTCTTCGTCTTCAAGTGGAACAAGTTCGACAGAAGTTGTCACTCTTGCTGCTTCTGCTCAGGGTGCCTTCGTTCTGCGAAGCTGCTTGTCCAAACGAAAGGAAGAAGAACGACGTTCAGAGTGGGTGTAATGAAGTGCAGTGGACTTCAAGTGCCGACTTTGGTCAGTGACCATGTGAACCTCTGAATTCTCTGAACAAGGGATTCAGTTTTTCTGTGTGCGCAAAATTCTTTGTTAAGACATGACCTCTGAATTCTCTGAACAAGGGATTCAGTTTTTCAGCGCTTTTGTTCCAAGAACAAAGGCCGCGACAAAAATTTTTGAAAGCATATTTATTGCTCCTCAACCGGTCTGTGGTTTTGAGAGTCATTTAAGGCTCACCAAAGAGAAGTTGATTTGTTTGCTTCAAGTACTTTCGTTTGTTTTACATGTTGTCCATCATATCCGGTGAGAGACACTCTTTTCCGACATCTGCTCTTAAACTTGCAGAAACGCGAGAAGGATTTCAAAATATCAAGGTGCTTCATGAAGGATTGTCACAGTCTGGACCCCTGTCCAACCAAACGAGCGCATTGGTCCATGTCTAGGAAGCATTCTTGTAGTACCTAGAACTGAGAACATGTAGCGTAGCCGCCGTGTAAGCTACAGCCGAAGAGAGAGTGTGTCCTTCCCCGGGTTGGAGGCCATCGCTAGTAGGTTGAAAAAGAATTGGTGAAGAAAGAATTGGGAGGCCAGCTCGGCCTCTCCTCTCGTGTCGCGGCGAGGTACAGAGCTCCGCTAGCTGCGAGGCAATCAGACACGAGGTGAGGCCGAGCGGGCCGCGTCTGGCAGAGCGCAACGATGCCAAGGAAAGCTCGAGGGGTTTTGCGAGCTTGCTTTTTTGACGCTTGTTTGTTTCTTTTTTATCGAGCAAGGACGCAACTAGGAGCTTACCCCATGTGAAATTAAGAGTGCAATGGACACCAAGGTGGATTGGAGGTTGAGCCCACAGAGTCACAGCATGTATCGTAAACTCTGCTTTGAAAGCTGTTCAAACCCGTGGCGCTTCTTTTCAGCACAAAGGAACACAGGTCTATTGAGGGAGAAAGAGGCAACCATCACAACATTGGTGAACCAGCCCAAGCACAACCAAGAGCTATAACTTGGCCTCTGGTTTGTGGAGAAACGGAAGGTTGCCATGCGGTTCTTCTCGAGCCAGGCGATCAGTGAGGTGCTCAAGCTAACTTCGAAGCTCGAGGAGTTGAGGGAACTCGGCGTTGGAGGCCATCGCTTTTAGGTTGGAGGTCATCACAGGAAATGAATCAGTTGGAATCCAGTCCGCTGCATTTTGGCCTCCAGGGCAGGAATGAATCTCAGGGAAGCTAGCTGCTAGCTTCCATGTGACACGATGTGAGGAAACTAGTGGATTCCTGCTGACTCGATGAGAACTTTTGGCCCAGGAGAAACTCGCTTCCCTTCAGGATGACGTGCAGAAACTTCAGTGGCGCCTGCAAGTTTGGCTGGGTGAGGAAGCAAAACGGAGGCATGCAGCAGATGCTTTTTGGCCTTTTCTAGTTTCACTTTCAATTTTACAGAAACAGAGGTTGGCTAGATGCTGCATGCTTGAATTCATATCATGCAGTATTGAAACCTCTCCCGTGGTCCTTCCCTCAGACACTTCTCCTGGAAGTAAGCACCTCAAATGGAGGCAACTCTCACTGCTTTGTAGCTTCTTGCTCCTAGTAGTACGGCCAAGAGCTCCTAGTAGCGTCCTCGCTCCTAGTAGTAAGGCCAGGAGCGACACATAGCGTCCTTGCTCGATGTACATCCAGCGATGGCCTCCACCCTAGTAGCGATGGCCTCCAACGTATCTCCTGACAGTTTGCAGTTCATGGTTCATGAATTGCTGTCTAAGCCTCTATTGGGTTGTGCATCTGGCCAGTACTGCACAACCATGAGATTGCTGTCCATTTGCATTGACTCATGTCAAGAAGCTTTTGAAAAACAATTTGCACATGAGGTAACAAGGAACATGTGCAAACGGGTGTAGAATTTCTATGGAGACCCCTGGACGAACTGGTGAGGTAAGGATGTAAGGCAAGCCACAAACTGCAATTACATATTATCAGAATGCACATATCCAATATATGAAAAAATATCAAGTTTGTGCTAGCGGAATTTTTACCGCCCAGAAAAACATCCAGAAAAACATGGATGTTTTGGAGATGGACGACTTCAGCACAGTGCCTCGATTCCGAGGGTTCAGATGTCATTCGGTTCAAATTACACATGCATACAGAAGAAACCCTTCTACGTTGCCACACAATGCGAGCGACTGAGAGTGGGGTGGGGGTTGGGGTGGGGAAGGGTGGGGTGGGGTGGGATGTTAACGTTCGGTTCAAATTACACATTCATACAGAAGAAACCCTTCTACGTGGCTACACAATGCCAAAGGTGTCAAGCAGGGCATTCCTGCGTCGATCTCTTCCCTAGTGAAAGGTCGGACCAATAAAAACCTTTGGGCCTATGTGCGTTCGGCCCATTGGAGATGGGAACTCGGAGGCCACAGGTTGCTGCAGGGGACAGGAAAAGCTGTCGCGCAGCTATGACAGAAGATCTGTCACGAAGGCTGTGAAAAAGCAGCTGCGGATGGCTGTGGACGTGTCATGCGCTGCGGACACATGCTGGGACCATGGAGAACAGCCCCCCAAGATCTTTGAGCCCCAAGAGAACTCAGCAGCCTTCTCAGATCGACCGAGCAGTTTGCGACGCGCTTTCGTGCGTTCGTTGTTCGTTCGCGCGACTTGATGGATCCGCGCGGTGTGAGAGAGAGGGAGAGGGAGAGAGAGAGAGAGAGAGACGTCCTTCCCGCGAGTCGTTTTCGGTCAGTCACACCCCGTTGACCCCACGGATGGTGCCGACGGATGGGGACGGGTGCCGGCGATGGGCGGTGTAATTGAAGAGGGAAACCACCAACCAATGGTTAGACGGTAGACTGGTCGATTTCTTCCATCTCTATTCATACACACGATAGAGTTACAGTACCAATATATTATATTAATATATTATGATCATTTCCCTACAGGTCAAAGACCTTCATTTTACTGACCCTGTCCATGAATCATGTTTCATCAACGGTCTGAATGGCCCGGAGGATTCTTTTTTCAAATAGGTTCATCTGTGGAAACGTGACAAAGCATAAATTTTTTTCCAAAATGTGGTCAAAATTCAAAAAACGAACGTGCCGATGGGGACCCCTTTTTGCCAAGAAAATGCTGTAAGGGTTGCACAACGCAAAAAGAACGACATTTTTTTGAACCCTTTTTTCTTTCTCAAAAATCAGCTGTCGCTGCACCGAAACAGAGAAAAAGACAAAAATCGTGGGGCGGTAATAATTCCGCCGGGAAGTTTGTGATCGCTGGTGCTCATTTTTTGAATGCCATCCCTTTGGCCGCCGGCCCATTAGACTTCATGTCCATGTCGATTTCTGCATCGGACGGGCTGTCGGGCCCTGTCGATCCAAGAGATCAAAGAGCCATGGCTGACTGGAAATTTTGCGGTCGAATATGATGCGATTAAGAGTTGTATCGTAGGCACGTAAGGCCAGCCCCTAGTAAGTCACTCCCTTAACTGCCCAAAAAGGGTTCGCATTTGATTAATGCGTGCAATTCGGCAGTTGGTGCAACCCGAACATTTCGATCCAGCCTTGACCGACTTGCCTGGGCACCTCATCTGGAATTGTAGCAAAACGCTCAGCCATCTCATGTACTTCTCTAAACCAGATGCGCTTGTGGTTATAAAGGGTACGTGGGGTTGGTCATCCACCGATACTCCCTGTAGACAGAGGTTTGACCGTTGCCTATGTCAGGTCAAATGGTGTTTTGGAAAGGGCGGAACTTGAGACGAAGATCAAGGACGGGGTTTTGGCCGGTGCGGCTAACGCTGTGCTGGAACATGTTTGTTTCGCTGCCATCGCTAGGTTTCTTTACATGTAAAAAGTGTTTCGTTCCAGTCATGCCCTTCAGGATGCCCAAAAATAAGAGCTTTGCGAGCTGCAGGATCTCACTGCTGGTGCCGCCGCGGTGCAGTTGGAGTTGGAGAGGCGAGAATTGGAGCGGAGCCTGGATCCAAACTTCTGGAAAGGTCCTTTGCTCACGGTGTATTTATGGGAACCGAATGGGCATCGGTTGACGAATGTCTGATCGGTTTACAAACACATTCTCTATTCTCTAGATGGTTGCGCTTAATCTGATCTCAACTGAGTCCCTTATTTGCCCTTTGCTCGCTGTCTCGTGAACCCACAAGATTCCTAGAGACTCCTTTTCACTTTGTCGACCCTATGCTACGGGACTGCTTGCAGTCTCAAGCACTGTTTACTCAGTATTTTGGCACCTTTGAAGCATGTCGCGTCCTTTCGATTTTGCCGTGGATCGGGATTTGTGCATCTTTGAGCCTGGATTCTTTGCAAGTCTAAGACCCAAAAGAGTAAATTGACGGGTATTGGTGGATTTTACGTTTCAGCATGCGATTTCCGTTGCTTCCGACGCTTCAATTGCTGACGGAAAAAAATATAGTCCAGCCACAAGGCCAAACCGCTCCAATCAAGCAGCTCATGGTGCCAATGTTTGATGATGTCGCGATGTTGTCCAGATACTTTTTGTGAGTCTACATAAATGTTTCTTGCTCCTACTTTCCATTTCAACAAGAATTTCTATTTTGACCACCATAAAGTCATAACACCCTTTGGCCCTTTTCATCCTTTTCCGTCCAACGCCTCTGACCACCATCCTAGCGTGCTTGAGGCAGAAGCAGGCCAGGCGTGCAAGGGAAGAAGGGAGGTGGGTTGCGCTTCAATGGCACAGCCGAGGCTTTAATAAGTTGCCCTGCACAGAACCCTGCACAAAAAGGGGCCTCGAATTTGACCTCTGCAGGGCCAGCTGGAGAATGCCGAGAATGCGGGGCAACAGGCAGTGCACCTGGACTGGAGATTCGGAGCGATGCAGTTGATGAGATTTGCAGTCGTTATCCAAGATGTGGTATTGTATGGAACACTTTGCTGCTAATCTACCGTGACGCTCAAGTGGGCTTTGATTTGGAGTCTATAGCTAGTATGTAGATTGTAAATTGGTTTCGGTTATTGGCTGTGCTAGACCTGTGCTAGACGACCAGGGTTGAAAAATGCAGCCTCATGGGCTTCTGACAGGCATCCGCATTGAGGAAGGTGTCGGAAGAAGTGGAAAAGCTTCAAAAAAGGACACACACACACATACACTGAGACACACACACACACACGAAGAAGAAGAAGAAGAAGAAGAAGAAGAAGAAGAAGAAGCTTTAGTCTTCTCCACCTTAGTGAGCATCCTGAAGAGCCTTGATGCCAGAGCCAGGGAAAGAAACACAATCTTACGCTGCTGGACTTTGATAGACTAGTTGAAGGCACAAAAGATCCGAACCCGTCGTGGTTTGAGGACAGAAGAACAAAATATCCAGACCGTTCAAGTAAAGTGCCTTATCTGCAAAGCAAAGGCTCTTGTACGGAGAAAAGCACTGCTGTGAATTTCAGAGTTCTTATGGATTTGGAGCTGAAGATGCCATAGGAATCGACACACACAGTGATGACGGTGTGGGTGTTGCCACAGAGTACCACCATGTATCACCACCGAAGCTGCTGAGGGCTGAGCTCGCTGCCACAGCGCAAAAGCAAGGATCATCGGAGGTGGGTCTTGCTCCTCTTGAAGAGCCAGGTTCTGTCAATTCTACTTTCCATTCTGTTCTTTAGGTTTTTGGAAGCACCAAAGAAAGTTCTAAAGAAGCGAAGTCAAAAGAAAGGACAGCAAAAACCATAAAAGGAAGAAAAGGAAAGACAGGTTCTAAGAAAAGGAAGCTTCAAAAGGATAAATTGGAAGGATTAGCCTAACAAACGAAGGACCTTTGCCGAAGAAGGCGCTACTCTTCTTCTTGAACCCTCACAATTCAGTTGGCGATATCGTTGACTCTTTCAGTTTGACGTTGCCAAAGTCGAATTGATTTTCGAGAGGTGTAGGGGGAAAGGAAACCGAGACGGAGGATTCAGTCCATTCTGGTTTGATTTGGATTATGCACCATGCCATGCTTCTCTCACCAATTCTCTCTGCCAGGCTGCCTTCGCCGCAGAGCTGCGTCACATGGAACAACAGCTGGGTAGGGAGGCCCAGCGGCACCAGCGGCACCAGCAACAGGTCGAAGTTGTGGACTCATCGGGATTCGTCACACCCTGCGCCACATTCGATCTTTTCGAAGGCGTTGGCAGGACAGCTCAAAGCGTCTTGCAGAGTCTTGCAGGTCTTGCTGTTTCATTTCTTCGTTTGGTGAGCAGCTGAGCATAGCTTCGGAAGTGTCCAAGTCTAAGTGACTTGAAGAGCTCCAAAATGTGATCCTTGTTCTCAGGACGCTTGAGGGACTCTGCCCTGTTTCTGCCAAGTTTTGAATGCACAGGGAGGAGAACACTATAAAATAGAATAAATATGTTGCAGAAAGGCTTCGCATTTCAACAATCACGCAAGAGCAGGCTGCCACGTTTTGGGGGAAAATGAACACCACACACACACAGTCCCTCCCACAAGTGGCAAAATACGTGTCGTATGTTCTTTTGTTTGGGCTTTAGGTGACTTTTTCCACATCGGGTGTTTTGTGGGGGGTTGTTGGTAGTTCCGAAGCTGTTTGCTTCTTGCAGCGGCCAATGTTCTGGGGGTGCCAATGGTGGCCTTTGCTTTGTGTGCTGAAAGTAGTGCTGTGCTGTTTGCATTTCTGCCCGAATTTACATGCAGTTTGCAATGTTGACCAAGGTGGCCTTGCAAGAAGCAACGAGGCTAGTTACACAGAGGCGAACAGGTTCAGTGGGCATGTTCATCAAAGTACGCCAACTAGTCAGTGTTTTGCTGATGAAATTGATTTGCGACCATACCATGGTGCAGTTCTTGATATTCACCATTCTAGAGTATCGGTGGGCTGGAGACTTTGTCAAAGAAAGAGGGCGGGGACCCACCTTGATGGCTTGGTTGGAACCCTGTTGTAGACTAGCTTTTCAACTTAGAAATGCCTCAAGTGAGTTAGGGAATCTGACCTAAGTGGCTTGGCAAGGCACCGACTGCACTGGTTTGCAAGGCAATCCCGGTATGCTACCGTTGCATTTTTGTCAGGCCAAAGAGTGGAGCCATGCCGTGCAGGCTGTGCAACAGGATTTGAAAGCGCTAGCAGAAGAGAAGGAGCAGTTGAAGGAGGACGGGTCGGATGGTCGTCAAGTCTTGCCTGGCAGCTTCAATATCCATTTCAGCTATACGCTTTGAGGAGAGGAGACCGAGAAAGGAACTCACGCCACTTTTCCTGGCTGCTTGTGGGTGTGAAGCGTACTGGGAGTAGTTCCACGTGTCAAAAGGTTCTTTTCGAGTGTAAGGCTCCTGCGTACGAGGATTGCCCAGTGCATAATCAGGTGACCCAACCATGTGTCCAATCCCGCCTACCTATCGTTCTATGCAAGGTTCCCTTTGTCACTCGAATCACAAGAAACTTCCAAGGCATGTGACTGGATTTTTCTGTCCCTAACTCTGTCAGGAGATTTCTGCTGAGCAAGCAGAGCGGCAGCTCCTCAGCAAGCAGCTCTTGCGGCAACAGGCGGGACCAAGTTCCCATGCAATGAAGGTGCTGTTCGTTCTATGAGATCATCATTTCATTTTTGGAACCCTCGTTTAGTGCACCGAGATGAATTCTTCTTGTCCTTTCTTAATCTCTTCTGATTTCTTGAATTCAGCACCCCGAAAACTTTGGGTATCAAGAGCATGACAAAGACGAAAAAACAAAAAGGGAGGATCCGAAGAGCTGCAGATTTGACTTCCCGATCTCCTTCAGTGGCTGCTTCGGACCCTTGAACCTGGGTGAGTCTACCTAGGTTAATGGGACTTACACTTGACACCCCAAGTACAATGATTTATATAAATATAGAATTTTAAAGAAAAGGTCCAAAAAAAAAAGGGTCTGAAGAGTACAAAGAGCTTTCGATGACCTTCGGTTGGGGAGGACCTTTCGGGTTGTTGGACTCAACGGTGAGACCCCGGACGCAGGGGGAGGCCGCAAGCCTGAAGACGGAACAGGCGTGGGCCGCGGCGATGTGGGTGATTGATTGGTATCAGCTTGGGGAGATCCTCAGATTTAAGCCACTTTTTGCCGAGAACATGTTAGAAACTGTTCATACCACTGTTTGACTTGATTCAAGGATCCTGATGATGTGCTGATGGCAAGAACGAAACCAGACTCAAGTTTCCCTAAAATCTAGGAGCCAAGTGATTAGTGCAAGCGCTTCCTTGAAGAAGCGTGAGCTGTCCTGCATCCATCCATTACTTAATCAAGTAGGGAGGAGGGCAGGTCGGCTAAAAACAAAACAAAACAAAACAAATAAGTGAATGTGTTCCGCCGGATTCTGGGAGGAACTGGGGGCAGGGGCACTGGGAGAAGTCTCTTGCTGCTTCCCTGGAGCGACTCTCACGCCCGACGACTCAGTCACGCGAATCCGTTCTGGAGCCGTTTGGGCAATATAAATATAGATTATACGGGTCCTAGTAGCGTCCTTGCTCCTACTAGTAAGGCACCTGTTCCTAGTAGCGTGGCACTTGTTCCTAGTCGCTTCTTGTTACTAGTAGTAAGGCCAGGAGCCCCTAGTAGCGTCCTTGTTCATCCTGAGTGGGTAAAGAGAGGGTGCAAGACCATGGCCGTCCCACATCCCATATCATGCTTCAGATGTCAGCACCCCTGTGGTTGGCAAACGTCGTTTGGACGAGTGGCTCTTGTCCACATCAGAGAGTAGTTGCTTAGGAGACTGCCTACATTAATCCTCGAGAGGAAACTGCTCGGTAAATGGACAAGGCTTGGTAGACGTGGACGACGTGGGACGACGTGTAGACGTCATGGGTGAATTTTTGGTGCCCCGACCACTCCAACGTGCCAGACTGTCGGCAAACATCTGCTCCTCAGGCGATTGTGATTCCAGGAATCTCAAGAGTTTTTGTAGGTGTTCCTGCGAGGCCCTCATTTTTTTGTCCTTTGGCATAGGCTTGACTTGTGTTGTATCACTAGTAACGCTTACTGTAACATGTGCTGTATCACTATCATGAATGATTTGATATGACTTGCTTTTTCCATCGTTTGTAGCGGATTGGACATGGGAAAGGCCAGGGGTTCAGTGGCGACAACGGCTCAAGTCCAAACTCGGATTCTTCCTTCCATTCTTGCACTACACATTGATTAGCTTAAACACCTCGAATTTGAATGCCGTGATGTCCTTATGTCACAGATCATGTTAGTGTTGGATCTTCTATCCGATATCAACATATCATGAAGAGTATTTGGGGTATGACACTAGCTTGCCTAGCTTGCGTTGCGACAATTTTATTTCATGTTTCTTTCAACATCTTACCTCCTGATTCATTGAAAGGCTCGCCAATAGATAGGTTGGAGGCCATCGCAATTAGGTTGGAGGGTTGCCGATAGTGAATTCCTCAAGGCCTGGAGACTTCGTCACATGCCAAGGAGGCCAAGGCGCTTCCGGGAATTTGTTGCGGAGACGTTTCATGTCTTACCCAACAGATTTGCTGTGCTTTCTGTCCAAATCTGCCAAAGTCTCACATGTGTAGATGTTTAGACTGTGCTGGAGACTCGGATCGCAGAATTTGCAGAGTCACTGCCTCCTCTATTTGTGTTCGACTTAAACAATCAGACTACTATGGGCAAACAGCCGACCACGGGATACACATACTGCCTCCAACCTAATAGCAAAAGAGACCTATAATATCCTATAATTGCGATGGCCTCCAACCTACTAGCGCTGGCGTCCAACCTAGGCCTCCACCCTACTAGCGATGGCCTCCACCTTACTAGCGATGGCCTCCAACCTAACAACCACTAGCGATAGCCTTCCAACCTCCTAGCCATCGCCTCCAACATAACAGCGATGGCCTCGACCCTACTAGCGACAGCCTCCACCCTACTGGCGATGGCCTCCAACCTACGAACAATGGCCTTTGACCTGCTAGCGATGGCCTCCAACCTACTAGCGATGGCCTCCAACCTAGGTCCTAGGTTGAACAACGTCAACTTTGAAGCCCATGAGTTTGACCTGCTTGGCTGACCTTTCTTCTTGAACGGCACTGGCACATGATATCTGGAGCTGGAAAGTTCAGGGTGTTTTGGTGTGTTTTGGTGGGTGTTGGTGTGGCTCTGGGTGGCGTGCTTTCCTGTGCTGTGTTCGTAGCGTGGTGTGGTAGGCTGAAGCTTTGGCCTCGAGACAGCTGGAGGAAGTTACCGCAGTGCACAGCCAAGTTGCCACCTGCCAGGCACACCATGTGCTAGTTTGCAGAGTCCAAGATTCTGCAAGTTTGGTTTGCAGGTTTTGAACATTCATAGAAGGCCGGATGTTGATTGCGAGGTCATATGTTAATTGCACGTGGCTTTGGCGCTCTATGATTCTACTCCAAAGTTTTGGATACTTCAGGCAGAAGCAGAGGAGATAAAGAAAGAACAGGCGCTGCAGATTGGTGTTCTTGATCCATGAAGTTTTATTTTTTTTCCACCTTTATTTATGTGCTGCGGATCTGATTCGGGCACGTCGGACACATGCCCCCAGCAGCTAAACTTCCTTTAAAAAGAACAATTTTCGTTTGAGTTACTAGTAGCCGCGTCCTCCAACCTACTGGACGGCCTCCAACCTTTACCAACAATCGACGTTAGCTGGCGAGGCTACACTTGGCCGTCGCCTAGCGCCTTTGGAGGAACTTCCCTCACGCGCAAATCTTAGCTCAACCAAGGGGCGGCATGTGACCAACCAAACAGCCAAGCTCGGGGTCTCCAGTCATCAATCGACCTGTGATTGCAGCCCTCAACTGAGTTGTCGAGTCCTTGCGCAGCACAAGTGAGCTGCAGGGCGAGGTTGGGCATTGGGAAGGCTGTGGTTCATATGGGCTTCAGTGCTTGCTAGCATTTGCATGCTAAACAAATGACGCTGACCTTCCGACGTTTGGGAAAGGGTTTCTCACAAAAAGGATGACATTTGGAGAGCTATTCTTGGAGCAAAATGCATATGCCCACTGGCTCCGTGCCCGCGTGGTCTGTGCTGGACCGAAACACCGTATAATACCAGTGTTGATGATTCCCAAGCATAGGAAGCACCTGAAAAAACCACTTTTAGCACTGTTCCAGGCTCAGAACACTTTACGCAGCAAGGTTAGCAGTGTTGTGTGCATACTTCATCGGTCGCCAGGCGTGCAAAGACACATTTTGGGAATCGTCAACACTTGTATTTACGACCAGGGGGCTTTGAATGACCACAGGGTGACAAATCCAGGGCAACTTGACAGCCCTGTCTGGGTAGAAGGACTAAAGATACTGTCTTTGGATATTTTTAATCTCTTTCCTCACCCACACCACATTTGGACGTGCACCATCTGAAAACCTTTCTCTCACTTCCAAACCGACGTCCGCAGGAGCTCCGCGAGCTCCGTGAGCTTCGCCAGCTCCCACCGCAGCTGGAGACGCTGCGAAGAGCGCTGGGAGTGGAGTTGTCCACGCTGGCGGAGCGGCTCTCGCGTGGCTTTGAAGCACAGGACGTGGCGAGCGCGGCCCGCCAGGTGAGGAATGGGACGAAGAGGACGAAGACATCTTTTCGAACCGAAGACATGGTATGGAGGCCATTGCTATTAGGGTGGTGGATAGTGGAGTAAGGAAACCGAAGGCAACCTTCGCTCGAAATTGAGTGGTTTCGACCCTGTGAACCATTAGGTGCACCGGCTCAAGATGGCTAGGCTAGAAGGGCTTCAGAATGTGGGAAGTCTCAGGTCTCCCGGAGACCGGAGAGGTGAAGGTCAGACAGACTCGGACTCAGAGGTGAAGTTACACTTAATTCTAACTAAATTCTAATTTATATATTGTTTCTACTAGCTTCTTGTTACTAGCAGTAAGGCACTTGTTACTAGAAGCGATGCACTTGTTCCTAGTAGCTTATTGTTTCTACTAGCTTCTTGTTACTAGTAGTAAGGCACTTGTTACTAGAAGCGATGCCCTTTGCTCCTAGTAGCGTCTTCTCGTTTGGTCGAAGTGTAGGCCGCATTGGACGGGCTCCAGCGACTTCAGCATGAGCAACAAAGCCTCTTCTCCTCGCAAGAGGTTGAGCTTCAAGAGGTGAAGGAGCTCGTGCAACAACGGCTGCAGCAGCTGGAACAGCAACAGCAACAGCAACAACTGCAGCAACAGCAACAGCTGCAGCAACAACAGCTTCAGTTTCTAAGCTGCATCTCAAAATTGGGAAAACAGTCGTTGAGCGTTGACTGGAATGTCTACAGGTCAAATTTCAGCTCTGCCTTCCCTGACTGGTGTAGGCGCACGGACTTCCATTCATTTCCTGATACTGGTTTGTACTGTACCTCCCAGAATGAACGTAGGACGTAGAACAACAACCGGACCGGTGGCCAGGCCTGGCCAAGTGCCCGAAAGTGAGCCACATTTCACGAAGGCCTTTTAAAGGCGCCTTCCTCGAATCCTAGTAGGTTGGAGGCCATCGCTACTAGGGTGGAGGCCATTGCTCTTAGGTTGGAGGCCGTCGCTCTTAGGTTGGAGGCCATCGCTACTAGAGTGGAGGCCATTGCTCTTAGGTTGGAGGCCATCGCTACTAGGGTGGAGGCCAGTGCTCTTAGGTTGGAGGCCGTCGC